TATACACTAAATTTTCCTGAATTTAACAAATCTTGTAATGGAATTCTTACTCGTATTGCCCATTGAACAGGTGTTTCGTTCTGTTTTATAGTAGATAAAGTGTCAAATAATCTCTCATTATCGAAAATTTGATTGAGTTTATTAGCATAAGTTCCACCATAATGTGATATATATGACACAATATACTTCATATCAAAACCAGGACGATTAATATATGGTTTAGGAAGTATTTTATCTTTTTTATCAATAATAGTAGCGATATCAAAACCAGACATATTTATCGATTAGGGTATTTAGACTTATTAGATTTAATAACTTTATATTCTAGAATAATGCGATTCAATTTTAGTGAGATTGGATTCTCGAACCATTTCTTCAAGGGTGTTATATTCGTCATATTTTGCGAGTGATGTATATGATAAGAATTTATTTGTGATGATATTTATTCAGTAGTCTATGCTTTCACTGTTACTATTTGGATTGAATTTTGATAAGCCTCCCAGCATTTGATACGATAAGTTTTTGTATTAACATAATCTCCACTACCCCATTCACCATCTATATCATATCTTATATTTTCTTTTTTATGATCTTTATCGCATAAAGGGCAGGATACTGAACTATTAAAATAATCGCTAGATTCGATCCAAGCAAAGAGAAAAAATATAGCAATTTATGAATAAGTTATACATATAATCAATTTTATTGCTCATAATGCTAAGTCATTATATTTAGCCACATAAAGATTTATAAGATTAATCAAGATTAAAGATTTTTCTATCAATAAACTCTCTAAATTTATATATCTTCTTAGGAATAGTGATTTCTGGATTCTCATCATACCATATCTCAAGAAGATAAATCCCATTAAGTTGACATAGGGTTCTTTTTTTCCGATCACGATTAACAATATCCTCGAGTTTTTTAATATCTTTATACCAACTAGTACTATGAAGTCGATGTTGTGCTCCTTGGACCTCCAATGCAATTCGATGATGTCGGAAAAAGGCATCAAGTTCTAATCCTTCCATAAAAGATGGTCGATATTCAACCATAGGCTCCTCATTAAGAAGTATCTGGGCTATTAGAATACATTTTTCCTGAAATTTACGATTTTTCTTAGATTCTAATTCTTTTTTAAGTTCATCTATATCCTGTTCTAATTTCACAAC